AATTTACTACTGGGTGGGTTAGACTATACCAGAACGATGAAATCTTTGTGGTTTGCCTTATTGATTTTGTTGTCTTATATACGAAATATTCAAATCCCACCAAATTTATATAATGGATACATTTCAATATGAAAAGTATCTCAAATCTTTTTTTAGTTAATTTATATTTGCTTAAACATTCCATTAGAAATATACAATGTTAATTCTAGTTTTTATTTGATAAATACTTTATAATATAGTGTTAACGTTGGTATTTCGTTTCATTTTTAATCATTCCAAAAAAAAAAAAAAAACACCAAATGTAGAGTTACAATGTTAATAGGCTGCACAATATGTAGGGAGTAAGTACCCTTTCCTTTCATAAACTTAGTTCATGTGTGTCAGCACAGTTCGTGACAGTCCTGTTTTTAACTGCTATGAGAGTAGCATTAACAAAACAGGAAGTCGTCAATGTGACTCATCCTATATTAAAGTTATTACACCGACACGAGCGACCCATTTTGTGAGCTAAACTTTGACCCTTGAACTCACAAATTGGAAGTAAAATATGAGTGTGGGGCACACAAAAATTTAGCCGTTTCAAATGTGGAGTTAACCGGCGTTTATAGAAAGCAAAATGAGAGAGAGAGAGAGGGGGGGGGGTGTCGAGTGGGCTAACCAGCAAACGCAACGACAAACCATAACTTAATCCTTCTGTCAATGGGGATTATTTATTTAATCAGAGGCTTAGCGCCGGGGTTATTTGGTCCGTGTTTAGGTGCTGCTGAAAAGGAAGCCAGTGCTATAAATAAACCAGGAGTCTGTCGCAGATCTCCAGGTGCAGAGTTGAAATGTTTATTTAGTCCATCTTCTTCCATTACACCTCGGAGAAATCAAAATTCATAGGAATGTGTGTAAGTCTTTAATGACGTGTGTGTGTGTAATGTACGGTTAAGGCTTGGTTTAAATTAAAACGCTAGCCACCGTGTTAGTGTTCAACATTTAATCTTCGTTGATCCAGTTTGTTACAATTATATTACTATCCGCAGTTACGGGGGGGGGGGGGGTTAGGGGGTCACAACCCCCCCCCCCATAGACCCCTCGGTATATATATAAAGTATGAGGGGGATGTAAATCGAAAGTTTGAGGGGGGGGGGTGCAAATCGAAAATTTGGGTAATAATTTGAACCCCCCCCCCCCCCATGAGACTATCCTGGCTACGCCACTGACAATCCGACTTATAGCTAGTCTGCTTAAAATAACTGACTTGTTTACATTCTACTTATAGATCTATAATTTAAAAAAAAAACAGCTAAAGCTCTCTCAAGTTAGGTACACTTAGTCGCTATTAGATCTATAACTTCCTCTGAAATCTTGACTTCTATAGAATCGAGACGTCTATATTTACTTAGTACTTGGTTAAAATCTCACATATTTCTAGATTCTAGAACTAACAATGAATCTACAAGTTATAAGTAGGTCTATACCTTGGGAGCAGGTGCATGACTTTTTATCAAACATGAGACACGAAGAAAAAAAACAACCGCCGATTACAACAAGCAACCTAACCCTAATCTTTACCATAGCTCCACCAAACTCTATCCTCAACTTCAACATAACTTTAGCTATTCCATTTCCTCTGTTCAAGCTTGTATCAATGTACCGATTTTCTTGACTACATACGTTAGGTGCAGAACAAACGGGTGCATGTTACCACGTAACGGAAGAGTACATTTACAACTTCACAGGGACTCTAATCTCCGTATGATCCTTTTTTAGCCGTATTAATTTTTGGTCTGGTTTTTTTTCCCACAAAGAAGACTTTAGTTGTACCGGTAAAAATAGGTCAAAGTTTTTTTCTCCCCTTGTTTCTATGCTCATAAATAAATCTTCACTTTCTTTATCAGCGTAAACGATTTCATTGTAATACTTCTCACCTATTCTCTAAAATATTTGATCTACTCAAATAAAAATACACCGGGTATTCCACTATCAGCGCTACTAAACAAGGGCGATAAATTACTTAAGTTTTCAGACATGCGGGTCGACTAGAATAACATTTGCACGATAACTAAAATAGCTCCTCGAATCACGTGATAAAACTACGAGGTCGTTATTGGCTGTAGTTGACAACAACGCGCTATCGTAAATCAGCGGGATGGAGAGGGAACTAGCGGTACGCTCCGATGCAGATTTTTGTGAACCAGCGCGGCGTGCGGACGTATTTTGTGTAGGCTAGTGTGTTATGACAGACTTGGGTGTTGCTTTATTGCCTAGCGAATGTAGTGTTAAATGAGGGCCTATTAAAGTGGATTATTTGATTGTTCGATTTTGTTTCGCAAGCCATGTATCGTATCCTTCTCGGCCTCAGACAACCGCAGGTTAGTTTGGTTGTTAATCGATAGTTTATTAGCCTTTAATTTAATCACTGTATGATAGTATTTGATAGGGATTAGGAGTGTATGTTAAGAAGATTATTGTACACATATGATGATAATGATAGTAGTCAGTAGTGTGTATGTCTATGTCTACTACTACTAGATCTAGTCTACACTCTACACTATACCCATTTTTTAGCTTTCTTGTTAACTTTTAAAATCTAAAGTAAAATAAACTAAGAGTCTATAGTTATAGATCTAGAAATCTAGATTAATCTAGATTCTAGATCTCTAGATCTAGTAATTCTTTATTAAAACATTATTTTCATTTACCGTAGTAGCTTAACAGTTAATTGCTGTTCGATCTAGATCTATATCTAGATCTTCTAGATATAATTCTACAGTTAAAATTCGGCGCAGGCTATTGTTCTATTTAAATATTGACTCAATAACGGTCTATTCTACTCACTCTATCTGATAGAGTCTATCATGTCTAGGCTTAGACCTATTACATTATTTACACTGTCTACGAACGACGACTAAGGTGTAGACTTAAATACAAAACTTTAAAAATAGAACACGAGAGAATACTAAGTTTACCGTACACTATTTATAGTGTAGATCTATATCTAGATCTACTTACTTAATGTACTTATTAACCTAGCCTCGTGATTGATTGGGCCCTTAAATCTAAATGTACGTCGGCTTCCTCGTATTCCTCTGGGCGTGTTTAGCGTTCTGCTGTGTTGAGGATAATGTTTATACCGTTAGCCATGATCTACTTACTAACCTACTGCAGTTCGGGTCTCTAGGATGTGTCTCTTATTATTGTTATCACTGTTTGTTTTGAAATTCTCTTCCGTAAATATGGGGTACATTTGTCTTTCAAAAACACGAATGACTTGATAAGCATTATAAAATAAAATGTAGGCCTTACTTAATAATACGATTTAAAGTAGTGGTTAGATCTAGATGTAGTAAGTTAGCCACACGTAGCCTTCCGTGATATAGATTTTAAATCTAGTATACCCATAATAAACTTAACTAAACCACGCGTAAGCACTTTTACTGTAGACTAGTTCAATAAATAACATTAAATTCTTATAAGACGGAATGGGCTGTTTCTCTCTAAAGAAAAGAAGCCTATTGCTTCAACTGTTTACGGTAATCTCTACTCCCCGCGCGCTTGGCCTGTGTTATAGCACTTTTAGCGGGCAATGTTTTGCTTGTAAGGCTAGGCTAGCCCAAGCCATCGCACAACGCAGGACCTGTAACAGATCGTTTCAATCCAGTTCATTGTTTTCTACTGCTACTAACACACAAAAAAATGTTGTAGGCCTATAGCTTATATCTCTTACTAAACTTATAATATATTGACGTAGACCACATTGGTTTTTTAAATAAAGCTATATTGATTTTAGAGGCTAGATAATAAAATAAACATTTGTAAACCAGAGATCCATAATTATTTATTTCTAATCAACTTACTGTTCAGTCTACTATACATACATTCTAGAGTCTCTGTTAATACTGTTTTGTTTTCCTTTTCTTGAATAAGACAGAGCGTATAAAACATTCTGTTTTATTTTAATAGTCTTTTCTTGATTTTTTTTTTCCTTTTTTTTTGTTGTAATTTGAAAATAAAAGAGATATAGAATAAAAAGTTTGAACCAATTTATCTGCGTGTAGTGTATCAGTGAAGTTTAGCCCACTTGAATAAATCAGGGCAAGTGAAACGTTTAGAAGTGGCTTCAGCTTAGATAACAGTTGATCTATGTTTTCTTTAGCAAGATGCTTGCAGGCTAGGCTGTAGAGTAAAATGTTCCTCCTAGGCTACTTACACTGAGAGGGGTGGGGAGATGTTTTTTTTTTTTTGTTGAGAATTCTGACCAGGGTGGGGGGAGAGGAAGGGTTTAACTGTTACTCACCAAATCCATTTGTATCCTAGAGCCCAGAGGACTCAATAAAATAACTAGGTCAACAATTGTATCTTCCTGACAGGAGTGTTCATGTTGTCTTAACATGGTTTTCTTTGTGTGAGAGCAGAGTTTCTTCCAGACATCTCTCCCCCCCCCCCCCCCCCGAACGAAATGAAATTTATATAATTTATATAGAAAATATATACTTTTAACAGTGTTTCCCCCCCCCCCCCCCCCCCCCCCCCCCCCCCGGAGAAAAAAGTCTGGAAGAAACACTGTGTGAGAGCTACCCCAGTTTTTATGTGCATGTTTTCAAATCATGTACTACTAAATCACTCTGTTGAAACAAGAACAACTAAGTGTAAACAATTTATAAGTCATTGAAAACAAAATTTGTCTTGTTTTATGAGTTCTCTTTTGTCTAATACAGTGGATATTTTTTTTTCTGTAACACTAATATAATTTTAAGCTTTATATTTTTTGCATGCCTAAGTTATAGCAGTACTGAGCTATTCTGTTAAGTCTAAAATTAAGAAATAAGTATTCCAAATTAATCCTTGTAACTAGTATAGACATTCACAATACCATCGGCCTTAACTAATGAACAAAAGTACATTTTGTCAACCAAGTTTTTATTTCTTTTACTTCTTGTTTTATTGCTAACAAATTGCATATAAGTAAATTATTACTCCCCTAACCGTGTCAATTTTGTTTTGTTTTCTAGTGTGGTTCGCTATGGGCAGTGTGACAGTTTGGCAGGGACTGTTGTTACTACAAGTGGTTGTTTGTTCACTACCCAACAGTAAGTAGCACTCTTTTTGTAAATAGAACATAACCTGTGATTCCCTCTTTGTAAATAGAACATCTCCTGTAATTATCTCGTTGTAAATAAAACATCTTGTATGTAAATAAAACATCATGTATGTAAATAGAACATCATGTACATAAATAGAACATCATGTACATAAATAGAACATCATGTACGTAAATAGAACTAATTGTGTAGTTCTTTCATAGTACATCTTGTGTAGTTCTTTCATAGTACATCTTGTGTAGTTCTTTCATAGTACATCTTGTGTAGTTCTTTCATAGTACAACATCTTGTGTAGTTATTTCATAGTACACCATCTCCTGTAGTTCTCTTATTGTAAGTATTACATCTTGTATAGTTCATAATTGCAAGTAGAATATCTCCTGTAGTTGTCTCCTTGTAAATACATTTCCTGTATTATTCATATACCTCCATAGTGTCTGATGGGGGTTGAGTGAATTTCTTTTTACACATCTTATACATATTCAAAACAGCAACAGTATGTTAATACATTTTTCTGAAGGGTGAATAAAAAAAAAAATTGATTGGCCACTGTTCAACACTGCATTGGTGTTAGTTTTTACATTTAAGAAAACATGTTCAGGTTCTGCTTGTATACTGTAGTAAGAAGCCCTAGAGGTGATCAAGCCTATCATAAGGAATAAAAACAGTCTTTGTTGTTGGACTGTTACCTACAAGCCTAGAGACTTTGATCAGATTTAGGACTCTCTAGTTCATAAAATGCTTGTTAGTTCTAAAAGACCCTTTGCTGAACTGGCAATTGACACAATGAACCCTGTAGCCCCAGTATAATAGGGGCTTTCTCCTACCAGGTTTCTCAAAATTCTATGCCAGCTCTGAAATATTATCTGCCAGGGAGGCCAGGACAATGGCCTGAATGGAGCACCCCCAATGCTTGTCATTGAGGCTGTGATGGGCCTCCAGTGAGGCGGAAAGCCCTGTTCACATACACACACACAGGCCTCAGGGATAAGCTCCAAGGAAATAGGTTCACCTATTCACCCCCCTCTCCCCTTACTTTTTTTTCAAACATCTTGACACACAAATAATGAAGTGCCTGAGAAGTACACAATTTTCATTTGTTGGGGTTTACACCATAATTATACACTACAGTAGGACAGGCTAGAGAATGGGTTAGATTTACACTACAGTAGAACAGGCTAGAGAAGGGATAGATTTACACTACAGTAAGACAGGCTAGAGAAGGGATAGATTTACACTATATATTAGGACAGGCTAGAGAAGGGATAGATTTACACTATATATTAGGACAGGCTAGATAAGGGATAGATTTAACCTTTACTAGGACAGGTAAGAGAAGGGATAGATTTACACTTTACTAGGACATGATAGAGAAGGGATAGATTTACACTTTACTAGGACAGGATAGAGAAGGGATAGTTTTACAGTACAGGAGGACAGGCTAGATAAGGGATAGATTTAACCTTTACTAGGACAGGTAAGAGAAGGGATAGATTTACACTATAGTAGGACAGGCTAGAGAAGGGATAGATTTAATCTTTACTAGGACAGGTTAAATATTTACACTGCTAGGACAGGTTAGGGTAGGGATTGATTTACTCAGGTGAAAGATTGACATTACAGTAGAACAGGCTAGAGAAGTGATAGATTTACAAGTACTTGTGTTTTTTCTTCCACCAATAATTGACATTGTTATGGTAGACCTAGCTGTTTCATTTGAGGTGAATCTGACAAGGAATTTACATTACTATAGTGGATCTTCTTGTTTATATCTGACCTAAAGAACACATTGTTTCTCATTGATGAAATAAAGTTGAATGAAAATAGCTTTGAAATATGATATAATTGATTTAAAGCATCTTTGTTCTCCTTTCATTGACATGGTTTCTCATTTATGGTGTGTAGTTGAATGAAAAAAGTATAATGATATACAAGATAATTTATTTTATTGATGATGTATGCCTATAGTTTAATGAAAACAGTGAAATACAAGACAATTAATTTTTTAAAATCTTTGTAACAGTTCCCCCCTCATTGACTGGTAAGGCCTGGCAGAGGGTGCTTGTCAAGCTGGGGAAGAACCACAAACTGTCATGTGGGGCGGAGAACTTCACACCTTATCTGACCGATTGGAAGAAAGATGGACAGTCTATTAACCCAGGCTGGGAGAGGTTTAAGGTAAGAATTCAGCTTAGGTTAACACTTGTTAGGATCTATAGATCTGATAGTAAACCTACATTAAACCAAACATTGGACTGGGTTGTTAAGTTATGAACTGGACATAGTCTAACTGATACAGCCAATACTAGAACATGACATTTGTCAATTCTAAGGAAACATGTATTTATAATTTAACAGATAACAAATGAAGGGGACTTGCGGATTAGAGATATTGAGAAAACGGATGCTGGATTATACACATGTATTGCTACAAATGGATTTGGAATGGTCAGCGTTAACCACACATTTATTGTTCAAGGTAAATGTTGTAGCTATGTAGACATAATGTCAGGATAGACATCTCCTGGTTAAAAACTTTCTTATCGTCGAGTCAGCTGCAAACATTAGGTGCTGAACTTGTTTTCTATACCTAGCATGGTGCCAGCTTGATTTCACCTTATGACACAGTTGGCACAGCTGTTGTCAACGTACGCATGACTTAAAAATTATGCAAATATTGGAGCATGGGCTGGGGACAAATAAATTAGTATAAATATGCATCATTATAATTCATTTATTTAGCATATGTCATTGTGGTTCAGTTTATTATATCATCCAGTATTAACAGTAATGTAATTAACGTTTATAAAATGTCAGTTGTCTAGGTTAATGAGTCAATAACAGGACATTTGAAACTGACACCCTAAAGGGGAATAATTCACCCAACCATGCTAAACAGTCAATAATAACTCAGTGATAAACATCATTAACAGTTCATTATTAAACATTAAGCTCATCTTTAAACATTAAATCATTTTAAAATGTCAAAAACTATTATACATGCAACTGTATTTAATTTAGCTATAGTGTTGTCTGCAAATATAACTGAGCTTTGTGAAGCAAACAAATATTGGAATTATTGAAAGTTACGAATTTAACTGTCCATGGAGAAGTAGAGTTCACCTGTTTCTTCAACATCTGTATATGAAGGGATATTGTGGTCAGTACTATGCCCAGCTGCCTTAACTTTCCCTAATGTGATTAAGGTACTCATCAGGGCTGGGTAGACTCAATAATGTTTGCTGACTTGAACCTGGATTTAAACTTAAGACTTTAGCAGTCTAGCACTCTACTCTAAGCCACACTGTTTCCCAATTATTATTGTCCTTCAAAAAAAAAATGTGCTAAATATCAGCTTAACTTAGCTAATTATACTAACAGCCCCTAAAGTAATATTTGTATGTTAGAAGTCTAAGAATCGTCAGAAATCTTAATTTATGTTTGGTCCAGATTTAATTAGTAAAGTACTTTGCATTAATTTTTTAGATGATGAAAGACAAAAGTTCTATGATGGGGACAAAGAATACAACATAACAGCTGATGAGGATTTAACTAAAGATGGTGGTAAGTCTTCACCTTGATGCATATCCCTACAGCAATGAATTTAAATAATATTTAGAACCTGGTTATAGATAGTACCAGATTGGTTTAACATTATAGAGCCTTTAAATATTAACATACAAGACTTTAATCTTGGGAAATGTGCTTTAACCAAAATGTCATCATTTTTAATTTTTTTTTATATTTAAACTTTTTATTTTAATTCCTGTATTTTTTCCTTTCCTTTTTTTAGCTATCCCGTTTTTTGAAGACCTTGAACAAATGAAAAAATCTATGAATATGGAGAAGCCAGTGAGGTCAATAATTAAGTTAATCTGTAAAGCAGACGGCAACCCAAAACCAGAGATTACTTGGATTAGAAATGAAAAGCCAATTCCTCAAAAAAGAGGTCACGGCCATGCGATGTTAAAAATCAATGATGTAACCAAAGCAGACAGTGGTGCTTACATGTGTGTGGCTCATAATCGCCTGGGTCAAGTCAACTTTACTTTTAATATACAAGTCATTGGTAAGAATGGAACAATGTTTTTGTCTTATATTTAAACCATTAGTCAATATAATTAGAAGGCTAGATTTTTAAGTGATAAAAAATGTAATGAAACTTCAAATTTATTATTCTTTTCTCTCTTTTTTTTTTTTAAATTTTCTATTTTTGTGTGTGTTGATATGTTATAAAATTATTATGATTGTAAAAAATGTTTTTGTGATCCACCAACCAGATGTGGTGAATGAAAAGCCAAAGCTGATTGCCCCCCACCCCCTGAACCAAACCGTCGATGCTGGTAGCACAGTGTCTTTCCAGTGCTTTGTGGAGAGTGAGAATGATCCAGAAGTTAAGGTCAGTCTGGTTACCTATATCAGTGCCTATTTTTTTAAAAATTCTCTTAATAATTCTCATTGAATTAGTTTGAAGTCTTTCCATTTTCTAGTTGTTGAAAGGGTATTTTACGTAATTAGATTTTATTTTTTTTAAAATTACTATAGATACTAATACATGAACAAAAGAAATTCTTTACTGTAGTGTAATTAATGAATGATTGAAGTGTATAACATTAACCTTATTTTAACCTTTTGTTTGTCCAGTGGTTGAAGCGAGTGGACAGACCAGAGGAAGGTATCCAGGACACAGTGCTGGACTACGGCAATGAAAAGTTTATTGTACTGAAAAACCCAGGAGCCATCTTAAAACTTCCTGATGGTACCTACCTACACAAGCTTGTGATTAAAAACGTCAGGGCTAAAGACGCTGGATTGTTTGTTTGTTCAGCAACCAACAAGAAGGGATTCAATACAAGACAAGCATACTTACACATTGTGCCTGGTCAGTCTATGTTTATTTTAAGCTAATCTTTTGTTTTGTAAATGTTTAACTTAAGTTTTTTATGCTACACCACAAAACTTAATTGTTGTTAGTTATCATTATATGTCATTATATGACACATTTTAAACAGATTGATAACATGTAATTGGAAATCTAGCATGACTTATTATATAGTATATAGCAGCAACATCAAGTAATTATCATTGGAATAATGTATTTTTGTAAGTAGTTTCCATGTGTTAAATTAATGTAATTATTTAAATGTTATGGCTAATTGATATTTTTTTTATGTTCCAGGTTCTGAATCCAATGAGGAATACTCTGATGACACCTCCACGTCTCACGGTTCCTCCAACAAATCCTCAGACGACGCAGACACCAACCTGCCTCTCTACATCGGCCTTCCTTCTTGCGCCGTGCTGGTTCTGATACTCCTTGCAGTCTTTCTAATGCAGCGCAACAACCGCTGCCGCCGGGCTGACACGTCCAGCAAATCCCCGCGCCCACCTGTGCCTCCCCATGAAAGAGACGCATTTTACTACAGCAACTGTCAGCAGCAACAACAGACTGTCAACCCACTTTTGGCCTCCAGGGAAAAAATCCCACCCAAGACACCGGCGCCTTCTGTAGACATGGCCTGCTCTGAATTTTCCTCTGTGTCCAGGGCTCAGCCCAACCATTATTATCACCCTAACCACATGAACTATGGCTACTGAGCACAGTCAACAAAAACAAAAAACATTGACAAAACTGTAAACCACGCTACGGCAATTTCGTATGCTGCGATGAAGCAGGACTAACTGGCCATTGGATCAGTTTGCATAATAAGTTTCTTTTTTTTTTTTTCAACTACAAAACCACAAATTGTCCTTGATGGCATAGAATTAATTCTTGCATAATTATGACATTAATGAAAAACACTGAAGTCATCAGTGGGCAACCAAGTTTGGTTAAATTAAATAGCATTTATTGAAAACTGGTGTGATGAAAGAAAGCAGAAAGTTCTCTAATGACTCTTATAGAGTTGCAAACATTTGAGCACATTTTGAAGTACTAGAATTGTCGGCCATGTCTACCAGTATGCCATCTTCAATATTCCGTGTCAAAATGTGCCTTCGTCATCAAGTCATGCTGTATCCATACCCTGTACAATACTTACAATCAAACCCACAAAGTGGATTCGTTACTCCATGGCTTTACAGCGGATAACCCACAAGTGGATATGTCATGGCTACACAGCCCCATCTGTGTGTTGGCTAAGATCCTGCAGCTAACAATATAATTAGTTTCATTATGTCATGTTAATTATAGTTACACAGCAAAATAAAGCAGGGGAATCCTGCTATGGGTTAGAAAAGACTTTAACCCAAAGTCAGTTTTTTTAAATTGCATACAAAGTAACAGATGTTTAAAATTAATTTGAATTTAACTGTTATCTTATTTTAAAAAGGAAAATATCCCATCACAATTATTAGTTTTATTTTGTTGCATAACCTTGCAACATCTGTTAAGAAAAAGAAACACTTTTCGCTTTAATTTAAAATCTCGTTGATTATCCTAACTGGATTTTTCATACAATTTTTTTTAGTGCTTTTTGCCCTAAAACTGGAATAGGTTTTACTTAATTACACAAATTAGAATGTTAAAGTTGTACATAATCTATTTTGATGTCTACCTTGACAGAATAGATGTCACAATGTTTGTCAACAAATGAGCTGCGCAGCGAGATCCTTCAGCCTCTACTGTAACATAATGTAAATGTGTAACTGCATATTTCCACTCAGGGCAACATGTTTGATGATTTTAAAAAAGAAAAAAACTATTTACTTGGATAGTAGATAGAAAAACCTTGTGTGAATGTGAATTCCTGAGTGAATAGTTTGCTGAGTGATTGTGTGTTGTAAAGCCAATCAAAATATTCATTTAACTTTCTTCTAATTACATTCTGTTTTTAAATCATTTTTTTTTCAAACATTTTTTTTTAAATTATTTTTTTTGTTTGTTTATTGGATTATTAGAACTGATGCACTATTGTCCTTGATAGGTTTTTATCTTTTAAAAGAGCTCTGTTGTAAAACATCACTGAATGTTTTCTGTAATTCTGTTTTTTAGTAATACCTTTTGTTAGCATCAGTTGTGTATGGTAGGGCCTGTACATAGTGTTGTGAGTGTAGAGCAAACTTTCTTGTGAGTCTGTTGGATAGGTGATGTTGTATGTGTGGACATGTCAACATTGCGTATGCTGACATTTGAATATTGTGGCATGTTGCACATGCCATGCTAAATGACATGGTGACATGTATACCCTACAGCCTGTGATCTTAAAGGTTCCATGACAGAGAACCCAAACCTAATATTTGTTTCTGTAAATACTTCAGTGAATGGAAAGTGATCGTTACTTTGTTTTAGTTGCTGTATAAACTAATAATTTATCCAGAAAAAATTTTTTAAAGTGTTTCTAAATTGAAATATCAATTTACAATTAAAATCAAAATTTGAGGTTATTATTTGCATAATATTTTGCATGTTTATGAATATTATTTTATGTATTGTTTTAGACTCCCTTATCCCAAATTTGAACATAAGCATATTACTTCAACAAGTAAAAAATATAATTTCCATCAATATTTTGCCATTAATTTTGTGTCACCATTTAGTGTCACCACAAGAAGGTGATCACTTTCTTATGTTTCCATCGCTACTGATGTTTTGCTGATGATGTAGTTATTGGTTCATGGGACAGCTTAACCCGTGGGCCATTTTATTTATTTTTGTTCTGTGCCGTCATACAAGTTGAATGTTTCATATTGATGTTTTTATATTTAAAGTTTTTAAAAAAGTCTTCACTATGAATGTAATTGAAAAATTAAAATAGTTTTCTAATATACCCCAACATTGGTTGTTGAATAGTGTCGTGGTTATATGTTTCTTGTTTTTAAACTTTTTGTGGACAACTGTTTGATCAACGTAAATCTAAAATAATACTTGATAGTCTAATAACATGTCTTGACTAAAAATGCCGATTGGAATGTGAGGGCCTATAACTCCAATGTATAATCA